ACGAGTGGAATGTAAACAAGTCAGAAGTTGTGAAAGGGCGGCAATGGGATAAGAGGGTAAAGAGTAGATAGATGGCCCAGGACATAAAGATGAGTGATAGTGTAACCGTTTTCGGCAGAACGCTTGTCGAGGGATTGACTTTACTTTACTCGTTGACGAATTCGTAGCTTGGTGCGAAGAATGGCAAAACTCACTGATGATGCCGACTACGATGTCGGCGAAATGTTTGAGAATGTACTAAGTCCACTTTCTGATGCTGGGAATCATGAAAACTACTATAGCAGACGAATTCCTCCTAGGTGCGTTCTATTAAGTCGCCCTGACAACAAGACCAAGTTGTGAGAACGAGGTCAACCCACTTCTATAAATCGAAAGAAGACTGAGACCATACAAGAGACCACAACATCTTGGTCTTCATATATTAAATAAACTTGAATTAAAATTCAAGGCGTCCTGACTTCAGTTTGAGGACTAACACAATAAGACTTTGGACAAACAAAGAGGCTAATGGTAAAAATCATTGTAGCTTCTAGTCAACTGAGCCCAGATCAAATAACAACGTTTATTAAGTTTAGCTTTGTGAAACATTTGCCGGACAAATCCGTCTGATAAATATGTTTACATCGCAGAGTTAATTGTTAGCGAATTAAAATCATATGGGTCGGAAACTCTTCACAATAAATCGGAAGCAAAAGATAATAAGTCTCGAAAGCATATGAATTTCTAGTATTAAAAATACTTTAAATAGATTCACAAATTTAATAGATTTAGAAACAGCAAAAATGGGGAATTTGACTAGCTGAAAAACAGGATTATTACAAGAATTAAAACTAATACAAATCATTATAGTTGTGAATGTAGATAAAAAACTAATGCATGGAAGTATAGATCCATAAATCGGTACAACATTTCACGATGAATAAGGATACCTGACTGTCATTTTAATTCCCTCTCCATCGGCCCTCTCCTGATATATCATGCGCTTTAGCGTATCATGAGGATTGCAATCCCTCGATGATTAATATATAATTCCCACACACTACCAGATAAAAGAAAGTATATAGTTAAAAGCAAGCATTAGTGAGAACCTCTCTGGAGCTAAGTGATGAAAAATTGTAACACACTAAATATGATTATATTTACTGGATAATAGAGCATGAAAAAATGCCCTTATTCTCGTTGGTTTCAAGAAGTTCCAATGTTCAGAACGTGTGTGTAGAAAATAAGTGTAGATAAAGTCATCTCTTAAATATGACAAGTATCAGATTAACAGCAAGCTATTTAGGAGTTCAAGTCATAATATGATGGGAAACAATCATAAAGTAATGAAAAATTCGGAAATAAAGAAAGTAGTAGGAAGCATTAAATCTGAAAGGCCAAAAGATATAAACAAATTAACCAGTTAAATGAAGTCAGTCGAACTTAAGTATGAATGACTAACACATGTATGATCGACGTGATATTAAAAAGGGGAATCAATTTGAATATACAGAGACTCTTGTATACGTTTGAATTTTAGTCTAGCTACTTTCTATAATTAATATAGTAATACTTAAGGCGTATACAAATCTAACTATAATCAACCTGAAATGCTTGACTAGAAGTCAAATCAGTTCCATTTATTTTCATTACTTTACCGAATTAATCGCTTCCTTTTTGCACTTATCTTCTATCAAGGTACGTTAGATGTCATTAGCTCCCAAGGTGACTGATACAATTTACCTGGTGGAGTTCAGATGTAATTACTTGTCCGGAAGCAAGGCGGTCATAAAAATTTCGTGATTGGTTAGTAAGACCGCTACTGCCACCGGCATTACTATCAGGGTCGGCAACACTCACAACCAAGGTTCCAGTGCGAGTGGCCAATCGAGCGGGAGCTGGTATCAGTCCATTCATAAGGAGGCGACTGCTGCGAGGGGGGAAAAGTATAGTGGTCGCAGAACATCCTGCTAGAGGCAAAAGGGCTTTTTCGAATCCAATGCCAACCAAAGACGCATGGCCCGTACTTGGGATCTCAAGGCCTGGTGCTTGAGGGGAAAGCATTTCCTGAGATGCTAATGATGGAGGCGTTGGAGGAACTTGAACGAGGCCTGATTGTTGGGAATGACGTTGTTGTTGATGATGATGATTTTGATGTTGAAAACGATATTGATAGTGCTGTTGGTGTTGCCGTTGCTGCTGCTGCGAAGATTGCTGATGACGCACTAAATTCGCTTGATGCTTATGTATGTTCAATTGAGTTTGTTGCAGTTGTTGTTGTTGATTGTGTTGCAGTTGAGTTGAATGCGAATGCATATGGTGCAAGTGACCAGATTGAGAATGCACAACCTGAATGTGATGTCCTGGAGGCTGGTGAAGAACAGGTAAGGCCTGGGAAATGCGACTATCAGCAGGCAAAGAGCGCGTCATTTGTTGGGCCGAATAGGCCTGCTGTTGTTGTTGACGCTGATGATAGTGGCAAGACGGCTGTTGAATAGAGTGGACATATGACTGGGGCACCAGCTGCCGAGGCATGGGAACAGCTGAATAACTTGAAGATGAGTTCGAAGGAGGGTGATGCGTGTATCCGGATGTTATAGAGGAAGATGCCAAGGCAACATTAGTAGCAGGAATAGAAAGAGAAGAGGTAGTGGAACTTATTGTCGACACTGTTGCAGCAGGGTAGCAGAGCATTGCATTGAAGGTTGTATTAACTGAGGGAACCAACGAGGGGCCAGTTGGGAAGATAATCGAAGGGAGACGACGTTGCGTGCGGCGAGATGATTCACTGAGAGCCAACAACTTCCTGGCGTCTTCAAGAGACTGAGCGCCAAGTATGGGTCGCGTCAGAGGTCGGCTACCAAGTCGACCTGCCTGAGTGGACAAGGGGTCAACAGCTAATTGATTGATGGTATCCAGCTCAGAGAGATCAGACAGAGATACATTTGGACCATTGGCCTTCGAGTTACCGGAGGCAGCAAGGGGAGATGAAGGTTGGCCAGAAGTGGAAGAATTCGCATTCTGATTAGCCGAATCAGAAGGCAAATCGGCTGTAGAAACTTTATCTTTCAACTCTACATATGGCGGGAAGAATGGAGATAAAGAAAGCAAGGGAATAATTCAGAGAGGATTTAATCTAGTAAGTTATTTTCACTAAAACTTTGTAATAGAAAATCCAATAGAAACAGGAAGCGGAGTTAAAGATTAAATAAATATGCTTGCAGCACTTCCTCCTTGATGGCCTAACAGTCCTTGGAAGTTCATAAGTTTGGATTATTTCGTCATTTTCACATTAAAAGGCAATTGTAATATTTTTATAAATTCATTGCTAATAAAAACT